CTTGCCCGGCGGGAGCGGGAAGGCTTGCTGGAGGCCATGCCCGCAGCCTTGTATCCTAAGGGGGGGGAGGAGGCCGCTCTGGGTAGGGCTCGGCTCTGGGTCTGGCTCTGCCTGTCCTGGCTCCTCCGTTGGCTCCTCGGCTGCCCCTTCCTGACCTGGTCCCCCTATTCTCGGGGCTTCGGTGGGGGTGGGGGTGGGGTGGGGGGGGGGAAGAGACCTGGCAATTCAATGGGCACAATGTTGTGCAAGCTCCGACTCTCGGGGGCCCAGGGGCACCTCCCGTGCTGTTTTGTACCTCGCGTGGAGCGAGTGTTCAGAGCTGTCATCGGCCTGGGAAGGGCCTAGCTGGATTGCGTTTCGGGCCCCGTCGCCCTGGGCTCGCCGCTCAGGGCAGCAGGTCCAGGCGCAGTCTGCACCCCAGTTCTTCCTGCAACCCTCCCCCCAAGCTCGGCGATCTGCGTGAGCCGTCGGTCAAGGTTTGAGTTTTGTGTGGGGGGGTGGGCTGGTTGCGTTCGAGCCCTCGGTGAGTGATGACCCAGCGGTCTGCGCCGTGTATGGGTTGGAGTTCCCCGAAGCCCTGGATATGTATCGAGTGGCGCAGCTGCATGGGTTTGAGGGTCCGCGGGGGGCGGTCGAGTTTTGCTGTGCGGAAGCCAGATTCGTGAGGAGTGCTGGCCTTGATGTACTAAATTAATTATCAAGCTTCGCTGGTCGCGATGCACTTTGGTGTAAGACCCCTACGGTCCTAAGGTCCTCCTCCTGCCTCATCCTCCTCCTCGCCGTTTCGTCGTGGAGCGGGGGGAGGGGGGCGCTGATCCCGTCGGCCTTTCGCGGCGAAGCGTTCGGCAACGACTTGTACCGCTGTGGCCATTTGCACGATTTGCGATCGGTGCGGTGTGGTTTCGGGCGAGCGGGGATGCTCGCTGGTCCTGCCGTGCGAGGGTGTACCCTCGAACCCCACCGCGGTGTATCGCCGCTCGCTCCTGCGCCGATGCAGGCACCCTGAGAAGGTGAAGGTCATCCTATGTGAAGCGCGTAGCTCACTCTTGCAGTGTGAGCGGGACGCCTGCTGGGAGAGGGCCCTGGACTGCACGGGTGCGGGCGTTGATGCACCTTCTCAGTGCGCCCGCCCGCCCATCCCTTCTCTCGGACAGCTGGTTGTGACAAGGAGTGCCAGGTAAGTTCTAGCAGCGAGCTCCTCCTCCTCTTGCTCCTCCTGCCTCCTCCTCCTGCTTGTCCTCCTCCTCCTCCTCCTCCTTCTTTTTCTTTTTCTCCCCCCTCCTCCTCCTCCTCCTCCGCCTCCTCCTCCTCATCGTCATCCTCATCCCCGTCTTCATCTTCATCCTCATCCTCGTCCTGCCTCTTCTTCTGGCCTCCTCCTGCATCCCCTTGAGCCTCCTGCTTCCTCCTGGGGCCTCAATGGCCCCCCCCGTTGTCTCCTGGAGCGTCCATGGGCTCCTGGAGCCTGGCCTCCTCCGTGGGCCTCCTGCCTCCTGGGGCCTCCTGCTGCCACCTGGTGCCTCCTGGGGCCTCCTGTAGCCTTCTGAAGCTTCTGGGGATCTCCTGGGGTCCGGGTTACTCCTGGGACCTTCTGGGGCCTCTCGGGCCTCCTGGAAAACTCCAGGGGCCTCCTACGGATTCTTCGTGGCTCTGGGACCTCCTGCGGGCCTCCTGGAAATTCCTGTGGTTTCCTGAAGCCTCCTGGGGGTTCTGGTGGCCCTCTCACTCAATGACAAGGTTTCCGCTCGAGACTTCCTCCATATTCAAGCCTGAAGAGCCACACCGTGATGCAGTTACATCATGTGGATGACGGAGCCCAATGAGTTACCAGCTTGAATTGCGGGCCCCATAGGGAGAGGGGGCCCCCGCTTGAGGCATCCTCACGATTTGCCACCTTGGGGTGCTCAAGTGCAATGATTGGTCGAGTTGACCGATGACCCGCTCTGATTTCCAACATGAGGTGCTGGCCACATTGGGAGGGACCTCCCGATGGAGACGTTCTCGCAATTCACTTACAGATGAGGCCCCCGCTTGAGACATCCTCACTATGTGCTCACTTGGGGTGCTCAGGTGCTATACCTGGTAGAGTTTGCCGATGACCCGCTCGGATTGCCAACATGAAATGCGGGCCCCATAGGGAGGGGGCTCCCGTTCAAGACTTCCCTCCAGGTGAGTATGAGTGTGTATGATGATGATGCTGATGATGATGATGATGATGATGATGATGATGATGATGCTGAGTGATGAGTTGTGGTGATGAGTGACTGCGTGAATTTGAATGAGTACGGGTGAATGCTTGTGTGTGAGGTGATGATGATGCTGATGACGATGATGCTGATGACGATGACGATAGTGGTGATGCTGATGCTTAGGTGGATGATTATGATGATAGTGGTGATGATGATGACGACGATAACGATGACGATAATGATCACGAGCATGATGCTGTTGATGATGATGACGATGGTGGTGATGCTGATGCTGCGGATGATGATGATGATGCTGCTGATGCTGCTGCTGATGACGATGACGATGACGATGATGCTGATGCTGATGCTGCTGATGATGATGGTGATGATGATGGTGATGATGATTGTGATGATGATGCTGATGCTGATGCTGAGGTTGATGCTAATGCTGATGCTGATGAAGCTGATGTTGATGATGATGATGATGCTGGAGCTGATGATGATGATGCTGATGATGATGATGCTGATCATGATGATGCCTGATGATGATGATGATGATGATGATGATGATGATGATGCTGATGATGATGCTGATGATGATGATGATGCTGATGATGATGATGATGATGCTGATGATGATGATGAAGATGATGATGATGATGATGATGATGATGATGATGATGATGATGATGATGATGATGATGATGATGATGATGATGATGATGATGATGATGATGATGATGATGATGATGATTATGATTATGCTACTTGGGTGTGTGAGTGTATGGGCGAGGAATAGAGGTGAGGAGGAGAAGGAGGAGAGGAGGCGTAGGAGGAGGAGGAGGAGCGTAGGAGGAGGAGGAGGAGGAGGAGGAGGAGGAGGAGGAGGAGGAGGAGGAGGAGGAGGAGTAGGCGGAGGAGGAGAAGGAGATCCTGCGGGGGGTGGGGGGGCAGAGGCCAAGGACCCCACTTTGGATGTGGGGAAAGCATCAAGACATCGCATGTCTGGGGAGTGCTGGACGCTGCATGTTTTACACGCCTGGGCCTCCGATTTTGCGCGCAGCCCGACGCCTGGTGGTCCGGGACGCCCAGGGGACTCAGCCGCTCGCCTGAACTTTCGAGGACGACCAGCACGCGGAGAGGCCGGCGGCGAGGGCGGCGAGGGCGGCGGTGACCACAGGGGCATCTGGTGGAAGAAGGAGATACACCGATGCCGCCGCTCCGTGGGCCTCTCCCTGAAGCTGGAGAGGCCCTGAGACCCCGGCGTTGCAATCTTTTCGCGCCGGGCGTCTTCGCCCGGTTTCGGGCCCCGGGGCCATCACAGATCGATGCGGCTCGAAAAAGTGCGGCCGCGATGTTTCACGATGTTTTAATTTTTTCGCATCGTCGCATCGTCGGATCTCGGGGGTTCGAGGACCGAGGGTCGTGCTTTTGTAGAGCCCTGCGCTGCACGCCAGGTCCTTCGCCAGGCCAATCTAGGCCTCCGTGGGGCTCCTCGTCGCCGTGGCTGGATTGGTTTTCTTTGCCAGAACTCACTCCAGGAGAGATCCAGAGGCAGATTTTCGAGCCCAGAGCCCAGATCCCATCGCGTAGCTAGAACAACCTCGCAGCCGATGAGTTCTGACAATTTCCAGGGCCACAGGGCCGTCAAGAAATATCTCAGGGTGAAAGGCTGCTCCCAGGGAAGAGCCGAGGCTTTCGGGTGTCTGCGCTGCGACAAGAGTTATGGTTCGGGGTCGGCCGCTCTCCCGCCCCTCGAAGGCGAGAGACACAAGCACAGACTATCGGAGGTCCGCAAGAATTTCTTGGGTCGGCGCCGGGCCGCCTTCCCCACACCACTGCTGGCGCCCTCGGCGCTGCCATTGGCGTGCTCCGCGCGCTGCAGGAGAGGCGCGGGGACGGCGACCCAGCGCCGACATCAGAAATCCGCGCGGACCTCCGCAAGTTTTCGCTCATGTCATGTATCTCTGTGTGTGTGTGTGTGTGTGTGTGTGTGTGTGTGTGTGTGTGGGGGTGTGGACCTTTTTGTTAGCATGCGCTGTTCGTGTCATGGGGGATCGCCAGCCGCGATCGGTTTGGCCCGATCGCATGACTGGGTGCGCTCGCAATGCGATCGGGGCGGCAGCCGCCACTGGACCGCTGGTGGTGGCGGGGCTGGCCCGCGATCGGCGTCGCGGTTGCCTGCCACCGAGGCCGCGATGGGATCGCGCGATCGGGGACTTTGCTCGGCCAGGGGCTCCATGCAGTCTCGAGAGAGCCAGGCGGCTCGGCGAGGTGCTCCGGAGGGGCGGAGGCTCTGGGCACCCTCTTAGGGCCAGGCCTGGGGCCCCGGCCTCTCTCGGGGTGCGCGCTGGCCAGACGTTCGACGGGAGCCCAGCCGCGGCGACGAGGAGTCGCCCGGAGGCCCAGATACGGCCGAATACCCAGGGCGTGGCGTACGGGGGGGGGGGCGCGATCAGTGGGGGGGCGAAGAGAGGTGCACCTTTCCGTACCCTGAAGGGGCCCTGAATCAGAGGCCCTTTGGGTCCCCAGAGGGGCACGAACGGTGCACGTTTCTCCCCCATGTATCGCCCCCCCTGTCAGCAACGCCGTCGCAAAGCGAAAAGCCTTGATCCTCGATGCTTGGGGCAGAAGTTGCCCTCTTGGGGGGCAGCATTGGGGCCCCAGCCGCCTTGAGAATGATCCTTGAGCGCTGGTAAATACCAGGATGCAGCGCGAGAACTTTGGGGGCCGTGGCTCACGCCGCTTCGCGGCTGAAGGCCGACGCGCTCAGAGATTTCGTCCTGCGGCCACAGGGCGTGGGCAGCTCAGGTCTGCCATCTCGGAGCTGCACCCTTCGCTGCCGCCCGACACCGTGCAGTCCCTGGTGGCCTCCGAGTGGTACCACCCAGGTTGCGCCCCTCCGCCAAGTGTCCTCCTCCACCTCCTCCTCCTCCTTCTTCTTCTTCTTCTTCTTATTCTTCTTATTCTGATTATTCTTCTTCTTCTCCTCCTCCTCCTTGTCCTTCTCGTCCTCCTCTTCCTCCTCCTCCTCCTCCTCCTCCTCCTCCTTGTCCTGCTCCTCCTCCTCCTAGTCGTCCTTGTCCTCCTTGTCCTGCTCCTCTTCCTCCTCGGCGCAAGCGTTTGCACGGCCGCGCCGTTCCCGGCATGGTGCTGCCTAGAGGACCTCTCGCGCCTGCTGCCGCGGCTTCCTTTTTGGAGGCTGCGGTGCGCGGCGCTGTCGTTGCCCCTGCGTCCGCGGCACGCGGCGGCGAGCCGTTGTGCGGTTGGCGGTGTGGGCGGCGCTTTTCGCGCTGTCTTGGAGTGCCACACCGCCGACGACCGCGCAGGCGCCGCTCGACGCAGGGCGTACTCGTCCTCCGCCCTCCGCGGGTGCCGACGGCCGCCGCAGCGGCCGCAAAGGCCGCCGCGGCGACGCCGCCGTCGCCAGCGCGCTGCGGCGCGGCGTGCGGTGTGTGGAGCTGCGCGTCCTGCTGCAGCAGCGGCCAAAGTCCATGACGTGAAGGTGCCGGAGGCGGCGGCGGCGGCGGGCGCGGCCGGTGGTGGGCCTGGCTCTGCGCAGGCCGCGGCGGACTGCTGCGGCGGCTGCCACTCTGACCTCGGCGGCAGCTGGGCCGATGCCCCGCCGCGCTGCGCCGCTCGGTGCCGACCACAGCGGCGGCAGCGCCTCTTGCGGAGAGGTGGCGGAGACGGCAGAGGATGTGGCCCTGGTCGTGGCGCCCAGTCCTGCTGCTGCGCCTGCGGCGGCGCTGGACCCGGCGGCGGACGAGCGCGCCGCCGTGATCGTGCAGCTCGCGGCGCTGCCGTCGTCGCGCCCTGGCGACGCTCTCGCTTGTGGCCGCGTCGGCCTCGACTCGCTGCGGCGCCTGCTCGAGGAGATTGGCCAGGCCCAATCTTCTCAATTACGACGTCGTGGAATATGGAGTCTGCGAGTGTCGCAGGTTGCCCACCACAAGGCGCAAGCGCCATGGCAATACGTTTCGCGATGCACATGTATGTCGCGCCCACGTCGATGGAATCCGCAAGGCCCAGACGCAGATGACCAAGGCGTGAAGCTCACTTGGCCTGTCTGCGCCCCGTTGTCATCACGAGTGCGCTCATGGTGCGGTTGGTGTACAGTGGGCGGTTCCAGGTAGGCCAGACAGGCCTTTCTCCGTCTGCTGGCACCACGTGTGCGCCCTTGACGCGGATGGTGTGCAGGCAGGCAGGGCCTTTCCATGCTTTGATGCTGGTCAGGGTTCGTGTATTCGCACTCTGCGGCTCGCTCCCTCGTCCGCCAGCTCCTCCTCCTCCTCCTCCTCCTCCTCTTCGAGTCCGTGGCCATTTTGGCTCAGGCTGTCTTTCCCGCGTTTGGCGCGCGCCTCCCAGTGCGATGGCGGCGGTGCTGGCGGCGGAGGGCTGCCGAAGCCCTGGCTGCCCACTGCTCTCAGACAGCAGGAAAGTCTCGAGAGGGGCCCGCTGCGGCGCGCCGAGCGGCCAGGAAACGGCGCTCGGACGCGTTGGGGGCCTGCGGCGAATCTGCGACGGCGGCGGTGCGCCCGAGCCACGCTCCTGGCGAGGCCAGAAGCTGGCCGCTCGCTCGGCGCTGCAAGCCTCGGCTGCTGGCGAGCGCGTCTGCGGAGGCCGCCGCCGCCGCCGCCGCGACGCGGCCTGGCACGCGGCGCAAGCGCCCGTCGATGGCTTCGCCCGCGCCGAGGCTGCGGCCAGTGCCGAGGCTGCAGCGGGGCCACAGCTTCTGGCCTTCGCGGGCAGCGGTGGCAGCCCGAAGGCAGAGGCCGAGCTGCCTTTCGTGGAGGACACTGGCATCGAGTATGGCAAGTTCGACCTGGCAGACGTCGGCGTCGGGGTTGCGCCTGTATGCTGGCTTGCGCCAGGCTCCAGACTGGAGCTCTCAGGTCGTCGCCTCTGCGGACGGCTTTGCTGCGGGCTGGCGGCTGGCCGAGGTCTTGGACAGCGTGGTTGCCGGAGGGGTAGAGGTCGTCGGAGAGGAGATCGTGGAGGAGATCGTCGTCGAGGAAAGCGCCGGGAAGATGCCGGTGCTGAGCGCCGTGGCGCCGCAGTTCGACGACGACGATTTCCAGTTTGGCATGCTGGAACTGCCCGCCGCGCAGCGGATTGCGGAGCTGCCCAACCTGGAGGAGAGGCTGCCCGATGACTTCGGCATCCAGCTGGAGACGCGCGCGCAGTCGGCCGACGAGTCCGACTACGGCATTGACGGGGTGCCGAAGGACGTCGGCTTCGACGTGGGCGAGGAGCGGACAGGCATCGGCGCCAGCGAGTTGCTCGGAGGCGCGGCTGTTCATGACGATTACGCTGCGCTGGCAGAGGCCTTCGGGGCCAAGGCTCCCCGCGACGATTTCGACGGCGTCGAGTTCGGCGAGCGCGTGAGCGCGGGCGCGCTCCGCGGCTCGGACACCCCCCTGGCCGAGGCCATGCTGGCGCTGGGCCTGATGGGGCGCCGTGTCGACGAAACTCTGGGCGCAGGCGCCGTCGGCGCCTCCTTAGCCGAGGACCTGGTGGATTTCGGCCAGGGGGTGGGCGAGATCGAGGCGCTCGTGGCCCAGGTCGCGGCTCGCTGCCTCCGCGCAGGAGTCGCGCAGAGTTCAGCGCCAGCCTCGAAGACTGCACGATGTGCGGGGAGGCGTTCCATCGAGGGTCCATCGGCCCCGCGCCGAGGGCTCGGCCTGAGGGCCCGCGCCGAGCGCTGGGGCCGCGAGCGTGACTCGGCCTGGGCCCGCCGAGGGGCGAGGGCCCCCCCCAGTGGGGGGGCGGTGCGCGGCCGCCGAGGGCCGAGGAGCTGGGCGTGGCTCGGGAAGGCTGGGGCGTGGCGCTGGCCGTGGGGGGCCTGGCCGTCGGGGTGCGCGGGGCGGCCGCCGGCGGTCGCTCGGGGCTCGGTCTCCGCTGGCCGCGGGTTGCCTGGCCATCGCCTCCCCGGTCGAGGCTTCGAGCGGCGCGCTGGGGCCTTCTTTTGCTGGCGGCCGCGCGCTCGCAGGCCAGAGGTGCGCTGGGGGGTTCTGGGGGGGTTCGTGCGTTTGCCGTGATCTCTTTTTGACAGATGGATGGTCAAATCGAAGTGTTCGCGTTTCGTAGGAGTCCTGCGCCTTCATGGCCAGGCTGAACCACGCAGGCCACGACTTGGTTGTCGGGGGCAATTTCAATATGGAGGTGTGGGGTTTGGCGTGTGTGTGTGTGTGTGTGTGTGTGTTTGTGTGTGTCTTGGTTTCGTGGGTTCGTGGGGTCGGATGGGGTGCTTCTGGTGACTGCCGCGGCTGCGCGTTGGCAATTTCTGTCATGTAGCTGCGCCGATTCTTTGGGGCTGCTGACATGTCGCTGGGGATCCATTCGTTTCTTCTGCAGGTTCTGTAGCGCGCGAGAAGTTCTGCATTCCGGCGGGCCCTCGAACGCCCTTTTTGGCGACGGGTTGCCGGCGCTTGCTATGCCAGATTTCGATGGCGTGGTCAGCTGTTTTCTCTTGTAGGCCGATGAGTTATCATAGCAGCTTGTGACCAAGTCGGCGAATGCCTGCAAGGCGTGGGCCGCGGCATAGTTCGGGGGGGAGCTCGGTTTGCGCGCGGGCGTTTGAGAGGCCGCTCGCTGTTGGAAATGTGCGATGCGAACCTCTCACCCAACGCACTTGCACTGCCGCAAGCTAACGTGCGGAACGATGAGAGAGTGGGTTCGATATTTGGGATCACCGCGGGGCGTCGGCGCCGTCTCCGCTGTCCGATGCTCGCTCGCGGCCCCCCCATCTCTCCCATTGTTGTCCAGGCTGTCCGGGATGCTCTGCTCAAGTTCCCCTGGGGCACGGGGCTGAGGCAATTTGATATTGCGTTGTGTAGCCTGGTTTTCTGTCAGCGATCCAGGGTTACAGGTGATGGTCGACGTTTTCATGAAGTGCGAAGAGCTTTTGAGATGGCCGTCGGATAGCTAGCTGCTCACAGAGCTAATTCGCCTCCCGTTTAAGCCCACAGGAGGATGCAGTTGTTTTGCTCTCGTGCAGGCCCGTGTTCGAGTTTGGGGCCGAATTCGTAGACACGTCGCGTCTTCTTGGGGAGCTCAGCGCACTCTCGGGTGAATTTCGGGTTCGGGGCCCGACAGGTCCTCATCCGACAGTGCGTTTTGGTTGAGTTTGGAGGCCGACGTCGTTTTGGAGGCGAACTCGATGAGGACAGCCTCGTGGTATTTGCAGATATGCAGAACATTGTTATGATATTGTCATCGTGTCCAGGCTCCTGGGCGAAACGCGGTGCGTTCAGTTTCCGCTTCGCTTGGCTTGGGGTCAATGCAGTCTGACCTCCGGTCTTGCTCTCTCCGTCCCTGCTCTGGCCTCTCCTGCTCAAGGGGATCCTTGCTGGATGCTCGCTGCTCGCTAGCTGCGACTATGCGGAGCGCCGTGCGGCATGTAGGGTACGAAATGCATGGCTCGTGAATTCGTCGGGTCCAGGAGTAGAGTCGATTGCGCGCACTTCAGGTCAGGGGGCGGGCGCAGAGTTTGGCTTGGGGCATGCAGCTGGTGAGGCTGTTAAGAGCGTTTGGCGCGCGAGGCTCCTGCCAGCTGCCGACGGCGGGGCTGGGGTATCAGGCATTGCAGATGTTCTTGTGTGAGCGCATAGAGTTCTTGTTGGTGGCAGGGCAGGTACTCAGTCTATGTCTTGCAGCACTTTCTCTCTTGTTACGCAGACGATGATCGATTCGATCCGTTGTTCGGTATTACGGTGCTTCTCATTGTGCGATATACCTCGTCCGTTTGGAAAGGAAGGAGAGGCCGTTCTATCCGTCTTTACAGGGCCTGGTGCAAGATCGGGGAGCGTCTGGATAAACGTGCTGCGTTGGTTGGGGCCGGGGGCCCAATCTATTCGGTTTGGGTCGCGCTGCTTCGCGTGGTGTGGGGTATTGCGTCGCCCGCTAATCCTTCCCGCGAATCGTGAAGAGCTGACGGGCCTCAGTGTGTTTTTGCTCTTGGGATGTTATCTCGCAGATTTAGTAAAGCTGGTTTTCGCAGGCTTCAGTCTGCTGGGATACTTGAATGTTTCCCAGCCAGGCCCAGCGAACGCGAGGGCGCCGAGCTATTCGTGACGCAGTCCTCGCAATCGAGGATGCGAGAAGGCGCGGAGCGCGTCGCGCGTTGTGCGAGGCAGGTGCGTTGGCGCCAGTCCGCTTGAATTCGGTCGGGACGGTCACACTTATCTCATGTGCCGTGGGTGCGCGGGGACTGAGGGCCACTGGTGGTTCGTTTGTCCCGAGGCTGTCAATGTGCTCGAAGAGGATCGGCAACCGACGATATAGCTGAGCACCGAGAGGCCATACTTGCTAATCAGGGAGGAGTGCGGCTTCCGTCCGAACCGCCTTTTTCCGACGACCCGTCGGACTCGCAGACCGTTTTGAGGCGGGGGTGCCGGCGCGGAATTTGGGGTCGCAAGGTCTACGCTGACGAGTCTGGATTGGCGTCCTCGTTCCCAGGGCTCACTAAGTGTGGCTGGGCGCTCATCGAGCTCGACACGCCAGGAATCATCTCAGAGCAGTTTTTGAAGCGCTGCCAGGGCCAGTCCAGACGGTTCCCAGATCTGAATGCTCTGCTGGGCGTGTGGTTGTGAAGCTTGCTGCTCCAGAAGTCCAGATTGTCTCTGACCGCCTTCCCCTGATCAAGGCAGGCTCCAAGTGGGGCCAGCACAACGAGGTGGCGCGATCACGGCGTGCGTCTGTTTGGAGATCGTGGCCTCAGAAGTGCGCGACAGTACAGTTTAGTTTTACCTGGGTCCCTGCCCGCCGGTCAATCGAGGCGGTGTCAGCGGACCCGTCGATCGGCCTTCTTGATTTCATGATACTCGAAAAGGAAGATCTTTTCGCCAAGAAGGGTGCGCGATCGCAAGGTGTCGCTCGCGTGCCTAGGGAAGTCCATAGGCAGCAAATGTCAGGCTGTGCCAAGGATGCCCGAGCGTTCTCCTGGACGGCCCACGCCGTGGCCGGAAGGGTCGATATGCTCCAGCCGCGAGCAGATGTGTCTGCGCCTCGCCGAGCTCCCTCCTCTGTGCCCACGGTGGCTGTGGACTCTCACGATGTCAGGTTCCGTGAGGGGGCTGTCTGAGTGCAGATGCCCGTCCTGTGCCCCCTGGGCCCGCACAACTCCTTCCCTGAAGGCTTTGCGGGTTCGGCCGTGTGCGCCCGACCCCCTTCAGAGAGCTGCCGCCGCGAGGCTCTCCTCTCACACCCCCCGAGGGCTTCCGCCACTTCTCGGCTTCCGTCGAGGAGGCTACGCATGCTGCCCAGGACCTTGCCGAACCAGGGGGAGCTGGGGCAGACGGGGCCCCAGGCGGAGGATGGGGGGGGGGGTTGTCGCCGTCGGTGTCGCGGACGGGGAGGATCCTGAAGTCGAGGCCTTCAGGTCGCTTTCTCACGAGATCGAGCGCCTGGGATCTACCATCGCTTGTTTGTCTTGCGGGGCGTATTCTATACGCCAAGGCCGCAGTAGAAAGCTCGAGGCTGTATGCGTAGGCCCCAGTGAATTGCCCAGCACCTCGGTCAATGAAGGGCAGGCGATCTCGCGCATCATGAGACGCCTCCACCCGCGTTCGGGGGATCCTTTGCCCGAGCGGCTTGCTTCTCAGGCCGCATCGTCTCTGCAGCATGTCTCGTGCGTTCGTGGGGGATCCCACACGGTCTGAACGCACTGTGTATCGTATTGCCTTCTGTTCTGCTCAGCTTGGACTTCTATAGCTGGGGGGCACCCGTTGCTCGGACGTTCCTATCTTCGCTCGGTGCCTCCTCCTCCCCCTCCTCCTCGCCCTCCACAGGCAGGCCGTGGGTTCCGACGGGATTCTAGTTTAGTGGTTTTGCAGCCATAACCACGTCGCAGAGACTTTCCAAGCGTAGCCGCCGCTGCTGCCTGGAGACCATCCCCAGGGCGCCTTTCTCGTTTTTGACTTCCTCGCCCTTGAAAAACAGCAAGGGGGGGGGGGGCAAGGGGTAGGGCAGCTGTTGTGGAGCCGGCCGTCCCGCGGCAGGCCTCACCGCCCGCGCGGTCTGGTGCACCCAAGACTGCGGGGCCGAGTTCCGCCTGGCGCGGCAGCTCGACGACAGGCCCGGCGAGGGGAGGGAGGTGCCGCTTCGGGAGCCTCGAGGCGGGGGTCAGTGCAGACGGGGGTCAGCCAGAGCGCCGGATTTTGCAGTATCCTGGTATCCTGCAGAGCCAGGGGTGGACTGACCCGGGTTCGCGTGCAGGATCCTGCAGGATCTTGTCGGATTTTGCAGGGTCCTGCGAAGCCTGACTGACCTGGGTTTGCATTGGCCCTGGTCAGTGCGTCCCCGACCTTGACCTCACCCCAGACATGCTCGCGTCGTGGCAGAAATCAGGATGGGAGATTTTTGTCAGTTTGCGGCCTCCGAGGGCCCTCGCCTGGTCCCGGGGCCATGAAAGAAAACCTCGGGACGAAAGAGGCGGCCCTGAGGGAGGGGTCGGGACTTCTGGGGACCTCGCATTGAGAACATCATGACGTCGCGTGTCTGGACCTATATAGAGATCTGGCGGCTCGACGGGAATCGAGGTCGGCGTTTTGCCCTTGTCTTGGGCCTTTAGAGACCCGCTTTAGGTCACGGGGCCGTCAGACCACGACTCGGGAGGAACAGCCGGTCGGCCCTGAGGAAGTGGTCGAGAGCTCCGGGGGCCCCAGGTCCGGACCAAACACCGCGCGGTCGGCTCTCACGGTCCTGCCTTCCGCACCTTCCGCGCGGCAGGTGCCGCGGCACCGCGGCCGCGGCTGTGGCGCGGAAGGTGCAGAAGGTGGAGGTCCGGGGACGGGACCCAGTTCCGCCTGGCTCGACGCTGGGCGACAGGCCCACTGAGGGGAGGGAGGTGGGAGGATGGAAGGGAAGTGAACACAGACCCCTCCGCGTCGTGAAGCACTCGAGGCTGGATCGTCTTAGCTGTTTTGAAACCTCCTGGGACCTTTGTCGGGCCTTGGGGCTGTCAACCCAAAACGGTTCATTATGAAACGGTAGTGCATGGGAAGTGGTCGAGATCCCCCCAGGCCACGTTCTGAATATAAGCCAGCGCAGACTCCAAATAGATCAGAATATTGAAATGCCGTGAATTGAAGTAGTCTGAAGTCAAGGGGACTTGAGTACAAGTAGACTGAAGTGAAGTGAGTTGAAGTAGACTGAAGTCAAGTAGACTGGGGTGGACGCTACTCTACTCTACTCTACTCTACTCTACTCTACTCTACTCTACTCTACTCTACTCTACTCTACTCTATTCTACTCTTCACTACTCTCCTCTCCTCTCCTCTCCTGTCCCCTCCTCTCCTCTCCTCTCCTCTCCTCTCCTCTCCTCTCCTCTCCTCTCCTCTACTCCACCCTACTCTACCCTAATCTACCCTACTGTACTCTACTCCATTCTATTCTGCTCTGCTCTACTCTACTCTATCCTACCCGACTCTACTTTGCCGTCGACCTCATGCTGCTCTACTCTACCCTATTCTACCCTACTCTACTCTACCCTAACCTACTCTACCATATTTTTCTCTACCCTACTTTACCCCATCATTACTCTACTCCTCTCCCCTCCCCTCCACTCCACTCCACTCTGCTCTGCTCTGGTCTGCGCTGCGCTGCGCTGCTCTGCTCTGCTCTGCTCTATTATACTCTACTCTTATCTACTCTACTCTACTACCACTCCTACTCCTATCCTTATTCCTTATTAGAATATACTCCTACTCCCCCCTCAGGCCGGCAGATAGCGGGCGCATCCGGGTGGTCCCATCCTAACCTGTAAAAAAACAATACAAAATCATCATTTTTCTTATTTTTTCCTCTCGACATGGACGTCCTGTCGTCCACGGCGATAATCCATTGCAAAAAAAACCACAAAGAGCACACGCGCGCGTTCATGTCAGAATCCTACCGAACACCGTGTGTTTGCAAGCATTTCAACATAAAAACATCAAAAACCCAATGCTTTTTCACAAAAATTGTACAAATTTCCCGCCCGGGCTCTCTTGCTGAAATCATAGGAAAACCATAGGAATCTTAAGAATTCTGTCAAATCCAGCGATTTCACGTCATCGCGCGGTGCACTCGCGATGCTCTGTCATGCACCCAGGCCGCGAATCCTGTGCAAAAAATACCACAAAGAGCACACTCGCGCGTTCATGTCAGAATCCTACCGAACACCGTGTGTTTGCAAGCATTTCAACATAAAAACATCAAAAACCCAATGCTTTTTCACAAAAATGCTTTGGGGTGTCCTGTCAGACCGTCGGGCTTCCTCCGGCCACCTCTGGCTTCCTGCGGTGTACCGGGCCATTCTCGACTCGTCTGGCAATGCGTGCGCGGCATTCAACACGCGCTCGCCAGTTCCCGTCGGCAACCGCCATCGCGGCCGCATCAGCTGTACCAAACCGGCTGGCCGGTGTGACTTCGGCCCCCAGTTGTGCCAGCTTTGCTTCTTATGTTGTGGGAGGGCGGGTGGGACTGGGCATGCCATGCTTGACTCGCTCGAGCTGGCTAGCTTGACTCCTATCCTTATTCCTTATTAGAATATATTCCTACTCCCCCCTCAGGCCGGCCGATAGGGGCCGCATCCGGGTGGTCCCATCCTAACCTGTAAAAAACACTACAAAATCAACATTTTTTTATTTGCCCCTCTCGACATGGACGTCCTGTCGTCCACGGCGATATTCCATTGCAAAAAATATTACAAAGAGCACACGCGCGCGTTCATGTCAGAATCCTACCGAACACCGTGTGTCTGCAAGCATTTCAACATAAAAACATCAAAAACCCAATGCTTTTTCACAAAAATTGTACAAATTTCCCGCCCGGGCTCTCTTGCTGAAATCATAGGAAAACCATAGGAATCTTAAGAATTCGGTCAAATCCAGCGATTTCACGTCATCGCGCGGTGCACTCGCGATGCTCTGTCATGCACCCAGGCCGCGAATCCTGTGCAAAAAATACCACAAAGAGCACACTCGCGCGTTCATGTCAGAATCCTACCGAACACCGTGTGTTTGCAAGCATTTCAACATAAAAACATCAAAAACCCAATGCTTTTTCACAAAAATGCTTTGGGGTGTCCTGTCAGACCGTCGGGCTTCCTCCGGCCACCTCTGGCTTCCTGCGGTGTACCGGGCCATTCTCGACTCGTCTGGCAATGCGTGCGCGGCATTCAACACGCGCTCGCCAGTTCCCGTCGGCAACCGCCATCGCGGCCGCATCAGCTGTACCAAACCGGCTGGCCGGTGTGACTTCGGCCCCCAGTTGTGCCAGCTTTGCTTCTTATGTTGTGGGAGGGCGGGTGGGACTGGGCATGCCATGCTTGACTCGCTCGAGCTGGCTAGCTTGACTCCTACTCCTACTCCTATCCTTATTCCTTATTAGAATATACTCCTACTCCCCCCTCAGGCCGGCAGATAGGGGCCGCATCCGGGTGGTCCCATCCTAACCTGTAAAAAACAATACAAAATCAACATTTTTCTTATTTTTTCCTCTCGACATGGACGTCCTGTCGTCCACGGCGATAATCCATTGCAAAAAATACCACAAAGAGCACACGCGCGCGTTCATGTCAGAATCCTACCGAACACCGTGTGTTTGCAAGCATTTCAACATAAAAACATCAAAAACCCAATGCTTTTTCACAAAAATTGTGCAAATTTCCCGCCCGGGCTCTCTTGCTGAAATCATAGGAAAACCATAGGAATCTTAAGAATTCGGTCAAATCCAGCGATTTCACGTCATCGCGCGGTGCACTCGCGATGCTCTGTCATGCACCCAGGCCGCGAATCCTGTGCAAAAAATACCACAAAGAGCACACTCGCGCGTTCATGTCAGAATCCTACCGAACACCGTGTGTTTGCAAGCATTTCAACATAAAAACATCAAAAACCCAATGCTTTTTCACAAAAATGCTTTGGGGTGTCCTGTCAGACCGTCGGGCTTCCTCCGGCCACCTCTGGCTTCCTGCGGTGTACCGGGCCATTCTCGACTCGTCTGGCAATGCGTGCGCGGCATTCAACACGCGCTCGCCAGTTCCCGTCGGCAACCGCCATCGCGGCCGCATCAGCTGTACCAAACCGGCTGGCCGGTGTGACTTCGGCCCCCAGTTGTGCCAGCTTTGCTTCTTATGTTGTGGGAGGGCGGGTGGGACTGGGCATGCCATGCTTGACTCGCTCGAGCTGGCTAGCTTGACTCCTACTCCTACTCCTACTCCTATTCCTATCCTTATTCCTTATTAGAATATACTCCTACTCCCCCCTCAGGCCGGCAGATAGGGGCCGCATCCGGGTGGTCCCATCCTAACCTGTAAAAAACAATACAAAATCAACATTTTTCTTATTTTTTCCTCTCGACATGGACGTCCTGTCGTCCACGGCGATAATCCATTGCAAAAAATACCACAAAGAGCACACGCGCGCGTTCATGTCAGAATCCTACCGAACACCGTGTGTTTGCAAGCATTTCAACATAAAAACATCAAAAACCCAATGCTTTTTCACAAAAATGCTTTGGGGTGTCCTGTCAGACCGTCGGGCTTCCTCCGGCCACCTCTGGCTTCCTGCGGTGTACCGGGCCATTCTCGACTCGTCTGGCAATGCGTGCGCGGCATTCAACACGCGCTCGCCAGTTCCCGTCGGCAACCGCCATCGCGGCCGCATCAGCTGTACCAAACCGGCTGGCCGGTGTGACTTCGGCCCCCAGTTGTGCCAGCTTTGCTTCTTATGTTGTGGGAGGGCGGGTGGGACTGGGCATGCCATGCTTGACTCGCTCGAGCTGGCTAGCTTGACTCCTACTCCTATCCTTATTCCTTATTAGAATATACTCCTACTCCCCCCTCAGGCCGGCCATAGGGGCCGCATCCGGGTGGTCCCATCCTAACCTGTAAAAAACAATACAAAATCAACATTTTTCTTATTTTTTCCTCTCGACATGGACGTCCTGTCGTCCACGGCGATAATCCATTGCAAAAAATACCACAAAGAGCACACGCGCGCGTTCATGTCAGAATCCTACCGAACACCGTGTGTTTGCAAGCATTTCAACATAAAAACATCAAAAACCCAATGCTTTTTTTCACAAAAATT